CATTGGTGCGGGTGTCTTTGTATTGCCTCCCGTATCTCTGAGAACATTTCTCCCACGGCTTTTCATGCAGCTTTTCTCCCAACCAAACAATTGCAGCCATCGAACACGTGCAAAGTGATTCAGGCCCCTGAACACCATTCTTTCTTAGGTTTGCCAGTCTTTATCGTTTACGTACCTAGTTCATTGACTGGAGATGCATAAGGAGAGTAAATGCGCATTACAAATGGAGTATAATGCTCAGTGATTTAGAAAATATGCTGCGCTTCGTTTTTACTTGCTGATTTATTCCGGGCCTTTGGAAATAACGTCATGTATATCGTGTCCATGATAACCTCGTTACAACTTATCACACCATCTCAAGATGACTTACTTGGACGTCACTGGCTCCTTGTTTATGACGTCACTGGCTCGGTTTTTATGACGTCACTGCTGATCGTGTGTCGCAGAGTGCGCCTGGTGACCTGGTCGAGGACGGTGACCTGTCAGCTGAACACTCCCGGCTGGTACAGCTTTCACCGGGAGATGAGTCGTTCGAAGAATTCCTGAAAAATCATCCTGGAAAAGAGGCGGACGAAGAAAGGTGAGAATCGCACAGGTAAATTATTTGATTCGCTTTGAATCTTCCTTTGAGTTCATGATTTTGTGGGCGAGGAAAAAAGTAAAACACGTGCATATAGGTGAAGTTTTTTAAAGCAGCTCTTGAAATAAACAAGAAGATGCAATGATTCACTCGAAGTTGTAACAAAGAAAGTTGTGAAATGTATGAAGTAATTGTTATTTTCCCCGAAAATACATTACACACAAATTTTTTTGAATGCTCTCAGTAGAATATAACACTGGCTAACGAATATGAACAACACATTTCCAAGTCTTCTGTTATGTACGATATATTTTATAGCATCCTTAAACTGCTTGACACCAGAGTAACACATTCCATATTTCTTTCTTTTTTTTTTTTGCAGCCTTGCGGAGAAGACTGCCCGTGGGTACTTCAGGAGGCCCGTATCACCGGCTGCTGACCAGCTGAGTCCTGCTGGAATAACCATTGATAATCAACAACACCATGGTCATGCCACCATTGAAGGAAGAGCGGCAGAGTTAGACATCACCGATTTCTCCTTGCCGAGAGGAACCAGTCGTGAAAGAGCTACGGATTCAAAACACCCACAAGATGCTACAGGTGCTGCCGTCTATAACAACGACCGCAGCGCCACCTTTAAGAGTGACGAAAGCGCCACCTTTAGTCAAGGCGAGAGCCGCGACGAGGCCACCGCTACGGGCTTCATGGGAGACGACATGCATCAAAGCCTGATGGCGAAAATTCGTGAAGTTTCATCCCATGCCTTTGACGGATTTAGCCAAGACACCTCACTTAATTTCGGAATCTCGCCCGGAGAAGATGTTCCAACGAAACCTACCGGGTACAAACCTGTTTATGAGGCGCCTTCGCGACAACCTGATCCTCGACCGGACCCGAGTCAACGGCCAGCTCCTCTTCAGCCTGACGATAACAGAGACTACAGACAAACTAGTGGTCTATCTGGTCCGACTCAATACGATGGAGACTACGCGAGCCAACCGAGTGGTGACAAGGATGACTACAGATACCAAGGAGACTACGAAGGACAGCGAAATGACGATCATGACTACAGAAATGGACCACACCCTGGGGGAGACTACAGCGAAAACGATGCTGAAGCTCATGGACACAGCGGTACACGTAATAGTTTCCGTAACGGTGAATATCCAGAACCACAGCACGCCAACGCGAATTACGAAGATTCAAATGTCGTTGGGCATGGTTACGAAGACGGTTACGATGCCTTCGACCCCTACAAAGAGGCTGCTCGTGAGGAAGAAGCTTTCCGAGCCGTGGAGAAAGAGACAGATCAGTTTGGAGAGTACAGCAGGGGAAGGGATCCTGGACATCGTAGAAAACCGTATCCTAGTAGATACGAGGAAACGGCGATGGATCGTACCAATAGTGAGTACCTATACGACCAGGGTGATTATGGCTATCAAAATGGCTACCAGGATGGCTACAAGAATGAAGGTAGTAGACCTGAGGGACAGCGACTCGACGCTGAGAGACGTGGTTACTATGGCAACGAGGTTGATGCTCGGAATGGTCGTCATGACAACCAGCATGTTAGTTACTATGGCAACGAAGAAGATACTCGCAGAGGTCATGGTGACTATGATTTTAACCAACGTGGTAACCATGACAACGATAATGTCAAGAGCCGCTACTTTGGCGAGCACAATGCTGGACTTAATGATCAACATAGCTATCATCAAGGGATTAGTGAAATCCTCAGCCGTAAGAGCACCATGAAAAGCCTTCCCCAACGTTATAGAAGAGACCTTGAAGGCTCTGGCTCACAAAGTTCCACTTTAGAAGAGCCGCGAAGTGTTCATCCTGTGATACATCGCCACTTTAAAGGTGTTCCAGTTACTACGCCGACACCCGTAAGCTCTGTTGTTGGGAAGTCAACGGGAGCTGGAAGTCCTACATCGGTTAAGGGGAAGCCCTTTGAAGTGGGAAAACCTTTTGGAGTCAGGCAGTCCCACCACGAAGAAACGGAACTTCTATCTGAAATTCAGCACCCTCACTCAAAACAAAGTAATTATCTTTCTGGAGTAAAACATCCTCTTTCTCAAGTGGAGAACATCGAATCACCTGCTTCGTCATCCCGCAAATCTAGTCCCGGAATGACAATATTCAGAGGAGACATCCCCTTCAATTACTTCCTAGCGCGACTCTCCAAACCTCCCCGCGAAGGCAGTGTTGCTGCAGAAGGCAAGAAAACGAAACTCAAGAGTCCAGCATCGTCTGGGCAAATACACTCTCAACTAAAAACAGATCAAGTGAGGCGGTTTGGTGACGATGGTCATAGCAAGATGGCCGCCTTCGCGCCTGGTGTTATTCATACTGGGTTTGTTCCTATTGTGTCTAATCATCATATTAGTAGAAGATCCCTGGTGACTTCCAGTGACTTGGTGACCTCTGGTGACCCGGCGACCTCAGATGACCTCCAACCTGCGGAGTCACGTCAGCTTCCAGCCTACCAGCCTTACTACTCAGACTACGAGAGTCAACAGGGCAGACAAAATGTTGAGAGGGAACAGGATCCCTATGAGCGGTATCTACCACGAGAAGACGACAATGATCCGTATTTTAGGTGAGTTTTGGGCGTAGTCTTTACTTTTATCTTTCTTCCAAGGGTTTTTAAAATGTATGGATTGTGTTGCAGCTCGAATTTAGTCAATTCTATAAAGAATATAAACTGGGTTTGATCATCTCATGCGCTTCACTCACCGTCATGGCAGTCTTTCTACTGTTGTAAAATGTAGCGTTATATTCATCCGTTTATCCTTGATTTAACGTGGAAATAAGAAAGCTTAAACCTAGAATCTACCATTTAACTAATCTAGTCTTTTTAATTCGTTCTCGATCAACATAACATTGTGGCTATTGTTTCAGCTGTGCATGGACTGATTTCGAAACATTCGTGTGCTTTTTCGTTCAGGTACGCCCCCAGGGAGGATATTCAGCATTCTCACAGCTTGGAGCAGGCAGGAAGAGTTGGCGATGTCGTCCACGAACAGTACGATATCTATGGACGTCCGAGGCAAAGCAGGTGTGTCAGGGTCAACGGAAGGTCAATAGAGGTATGTTTGGGGTCAGTGAAGGCTGCTGGGAGGTCAGTTTGAGTCACTGAGGGTTAACAAGTTCAGCTATAGATCAGTGAGTTGTTACTGAGGGTAAGTGAGGGCTACTGATAATCACTAACCGTTTCAAATGATAAGCAAGTCCCAGATGTCACCAAGGACAATGCGGGTTATGGGAAGACAAGGAAATTATCTAATGAGAAATCGCCGGTCCCTGGTCGAAGATCATTGATGTCCACTGGATACTAACCACGCCACTTAGTTACTGAAGATGATGATGATGGCTCAATTGTGCCACCAAAGTCACAGACATAAGCTATCTAGGCTAATAAGGGGCAGTCTTTCACTGATGGCGACGGAACCACCATAGTTCATTGGAAATTGATGATATGTGAGCCAATGAAACAGTTGCATTGCAATACGCAAGGTTTATATTGGGCTCTCGTATAAGACCTTTAGCTCTAATTTGTGCCCTTCAATCACCAGTTACACAATCAAATTATAGAATTAACTTACATTACCTTTCGTTTCGTTTTTTACAGCCAAGGAAGAAGGCCACAAGTGACCGAAGACTATCATGACTATGACTACGAAGACGATTATGATCGTAACAGCCAAGATGGAATTGGATATCCTTCCTATGATGAGTACGAAGAGGAATATCCATCATCTCCTACTGAAAACAATTCAAGACGGCGTCACCCTCAAGAACAAGACGGCTTGCGACACAACGGTCGCCCTGGCAACGGTCGCCATGGCAACGATCACCATGGCAACCCGCGCAGAAATGGGCACCGGAATGTTGATCCGATCAATGACGATTACGATTACGATTTCTTCAATGACTACCAAGACGACAAAAACGATAGAATTGCTGACGAAACCGATCCCAAAAAGAGCAAACAGTTGGGCGAAAATCCTTTGGCTTCTAAAGCTCCTGAAACTCCAACAGGTCCTCAGAAATTTACTCCCGGCGTGATTCAAAATGGTTTTGTACCGATCACCAAAACTCCACACCGGATCAACAAACGCTCACTGTTTCACCCAACACCCAAAGAAGATCCGTCGGATGTGTTTGCGCTAGCCGAGGACCAGTCACATGGTGAGGTTCAGAGGCTAGCTGAAAATAACTCCCAACATTCTAGCTCCCGCTTTAGCGATGAAGATTTCTCGACCAAAATTGAGGATGCTTTTCTCCGTCCGGTGACTTCTGGTGACCTGGTAGCCTCAGGTGGGCCTGCAATCTCTGAAGGTTCAGTGACCTCTGATGAGGCTGCGACCTCTGAAAAGTCCGTGACCTCTGATGACCCGTTGACCTCAGAAGATGACCTTCAACCAGCGGAGTCACGCCATCTTCCAGCCTACCAGCCGTACTACTCAAACTACGAACGTCAACAGGGAAGGCAGAATGTCGAGAAGGAACGGGATCCCTATGAACGGTATCTACCACGAGAAGACGACAATGATCCCTATTTCAGGTGAGTCTTCTACCTACAGGGTTGAGAGTTTGACATAAACCGGCTCTTTTTATAGTTACCTATCACTATAAACATTGACATTATTTTTTAGGCGATAAGTCATATGGAAATAACTGTAATTTAAAAACAACTGTTAAAAATCTCATGTCTATCCGTAGCATGTTCGCTGGTCATTTTACAAGTGTGTTAGATTTAAATTCACAAACTATTGGTCATGTGTTCCATATTGTTTTCTACCCGTGTTCATAAGTTTAAACACTTCTATCTTGTTTACCTACTTAAACAAGCCCAACACATGTGTTCATAGGTACGCCCCAAGGGAGGACATTCAGCACTACCACGGAGGCGCAGAAAATATAGGAGCAGCCAGACAGGAGCACATACAACATGACCTCTACGGGTCAGCACCGGGTCAAAGGTGAGAACGGGGTCATATGGTCATGTGACCAACGGGGAAAGGTTGTAATAGATCATTGTTTTGCGTCAGCATTCAACACCATCAGTAACCTACAATGGTTGCTAACAATTTTGGCTCATGGTCACTGTCAATCATTTTTTTTTTGTCCCAAAGAGTAGCGTAAAAATCACCAAATCAGATGAAAATATCCGAAAAATGAGCAATCCTTCAAACAAACTACTCAAACATGCCGGACGTCTGCCTAACCAGATTTCTCCATGCTGCTGTGCGTTCGATATAGGCGGTTCTTATCCTGACTACATTTGCACTGATCTTTATTCACAGATACCTCAAAAGAAAACTCGAAGGTTACAACAAGGCTACTACTGACTATGTTTATGACGAATATGACAGCGCTGGTCGCCAAGAAACCAACTATCCAAGTCCAACGAACGATTATTATTACAACTACGACTGCAGTGAATATCCTCCTAGAAACCCAACCAGAAAACAACCCGACTACAATTACGAAAATCAACGGGACACTGGTAGCCATAGCAATCGTCGCCATGGTGACGGTCGTCATGGCAACGGTCGTCAGGACAACGGACGTGGAAACAGATATGCGTACGATGAGCGAGGCGGGAAAAGAGGCTAGGGGTGGCATATAGTTGCAGTAATGCAGTACGCAATCGTGCATGAGTAAAAGATGCGATGTGACCTTAGAAAGGTGGCAAGGCAAGAGCTTCCGTTGAAGCTCATAGCTGTGTTTAACTTGTGAGGCCGTTAGTGTTACAATGGTGACAGGATGGTTAAGTCATATGTGTGTGTTATCCTATAGGGTGGAATTGTTCACGGATTTTGTGTATCGTTATGATGTTCTGTCAAGCATAGGGAGCTTCATGGATTTTTCTTTTTAATATGCAGGATAGTCGCAAGACGCTAGTGTGACATGAAGAAATAGCGGCATGTTGATGGCAATATCGTTTTGTTGGGCTTGTTTAATACACATTTATTCCGATGACGATATCTTCTGACAGAATCATGAACGTGCGGTGAATATAATTGCTGCCAAGTTAAATTTGTGTACTTCTGCCAATTCTTTCATGAAATTGGTTTCACAGACATCAATTAAAGTGACTCTCCCACCTTCAAAAAAGTTAATGCATTGTCATAAAAGTGATGTACCGCGAATAAGAAAGAGCGAAAATGAACATATACCAAATTTCACCGCAAAATATTCACCCGTTTTGAGATATAAGACTTTTATTTTGGCTTGGAAGCATCAGGCGCGTTCAATGGGCTAATGACGTCATCAGAGTCCGTTAGTTGTTAAGAGATAGTGACTAAGCTATTCCCACTCTGCAAACTTTGAAATTAAATACATTTTCGATTTAAGGCATTTCTCTATATTGCGAGTGTTGAAACCGGTGACTGTGAGTCACAGACCCTAATTTGGCTATCTCAACTCAAATATTTTATTAAGGTGGGATGGTCACAAAGCGCCTATGACGTGTTGTACTGTCCTTGATTTAATTGGTTTCATAGATAACAGTAGAACTACTGTTGTCTATGTTGGTTTTAATAATAATGGTGTACCTAGCTCTAGATAATCCAAAGGATCTTAGACAGTATTTGGGAAATTTTATGGCATATCATTACAGGCGATGCTGTCATCTAGCTTTTTGAATCTCTCTCTCTCTCTCTCTCTCTCTCTCTCTCTCTCTCTCTCTCTCTCTCTCTCTCTCTCTCTTCCTCTCTCTCCCCTCTCTCTCTCTCTCTTTCTCTCTCGCTCATGGACGAATGATGACCTCGTAGAGAAATGAAAAATGCATCATGCGATTTGGCGCGAAAAACTACATCAGATAAACACCTCTTTGGGTCTAAAAAAAGTGTAATTGACTGGCAATTCTACATATATCCATAAAAGGCGTTAACACGTGTATATTTCACTGTACGAACGTCACATCGTCTAGGTAAATGCATATCATAAGCAAAACGAACGCATCAATAGTAACACTCGTATAGTTGATAACATCGAGTACAGAGTCGCAATGAATTGCAGACACTGCGAGGCGTGCGAGCAGGATTTTACCAGCAAACAGTTCAGTTATCGACGTTATCGACGAAAAGGCACAAATAATATTTTTCACATGTGCAGGTATTGAACACTACATTAACAGCCAAACAAAGCCAATGTTCCGCAATGCTGTCACGATCCGAACTAAGTACTTGGAAGCAAGTTTGTCATCTTGCATACAATCGTATCTATATTAGTTGTCTATTCTATGACAATCATATCAAGAAAACTACGACCTCTCCCGTCCACACCTCAGAGTGACATAACACCACATCTCTCGTCCACGCCTCAGAGTGACATAACACCACCTCTCCCGTCCACATCTCAGAGTGGCATAACACCACCTCTCCCGTCCTCACATCAGAGTGACATAACACCACCTAGCTCGTCCACACCTCAGAGTGGCATAACACCACCTCTCCTGTCCACAACTCAGAGTGATATAACACCACCTCTCCCGTCCACACATAAGAGTGACATAACACCACCTCTCCTGTCCACACATCAGAGTGACATAACACCACCTCTCCCGTCCACACCTCAGAGTGGCATAACACCACCTCTCCCGTCCACACCTCAGAGTGGCATAACACCACTTCTCCCGTCCACACCTCAGAGTGGCATAACACCACCTCTCCTGTCTACACCTCAGAGTGACATAATACCACCTCTCCCGTCCACACCTCAGAGTGGCCTACGAAGCAGAAAGGGCAGCACGCCCCAAGGGTCCGGGAAGCGGCGTCTGCGCCTCTCGTACTCCCTGGCCGTCTCCGGGTCGTCCAAGAGCCGCCGCAGTTCCACACCGTAACGGCAGGCCGTCCGCAGCGCCGTCTGGCGGTCCATGCCGAGCGTGGTGTGGAAAATGAACGCCATGTACTTCCACTTTAAGGCCTGGCTCATAACCTTTTCATGATAAGTTTCATATGACTCCAAATCATAAGTCGAGTACTTTTCCATCAGGTTTGTGCTGAATCTTTGATGGTACTCCCACATGTCCGGTACACTCTCCCTGAGAGCCCGGCTCAGCAGTGGCATGTTGAGCAGCAGGTCACAGAGGTCACGCGGTGACCTCAGGTCAGCGGGCAGACCAGCCGGCCGTTGTGTTTCCGGCAGCTGGTGCTGACGTCTCAGCCAGGCTCGCACCGCGTCAGGATCCATCAGCAGATTCCTCAGGTCATCTTCAGTGAGAAGACCCAACAGAGAAGCTGCGTCCCAGACGAAGCAAGGACCCATGGAGGTGAGGTGGGTCTGCAAGGTCACGTCCGTTGGGGCTACGATCAGAGCCTTGTACAGACAAGTCTGCATCCTGTACCGATGATTGACTGGTACGAGCAGTCTGGCCACAGTTGATGACGTAAGCTGGCGTGAATGCACCAACACAGACATCAGGAGTTCTACGACACGTGTAGTTGACAAACGCAGATGATTTAAAAATGCAGCCTTTATGCCCACTATGATAAACCATCGAGCCAGACAGGCACGCACCCGGCGCTCCGTTAGTTTCGTGATAGCCTGTGTCAGCATCTTCTGCAGTAGAGGCTGATACACACACAACTGACGTGCCAGAAGGGTCATCAGGTTTCTTTTCATGTCGTGCAGAACCCTTTTCATCACCTTTCGCTCGCCCCGACTGGTAAACCGAATTAGGTTCACCTGACTCCAGAAGTAGCACGGAAGGTTCCCCGTGTCGACAGCCTCTTCCAGAAAGTCCAGCAGTTTGATGACACTCTGAGAGACGGCCGTCCATTCATCCTTTGGTGTTTGTTCGCACAGCCACAAAAGTGCTGTCTTAACATAGTATGATTTTATCGTTTTACCGTTTTCTACCGCTGCCCTGCAGACTTTGAAGGCGATGACGGCATGCCTTTGCCGATCAGATAGTAAGGAGGCCAGTATGAGCTCGGCTCTGGAGAAAGATATCCTGAACTCAAACTTTTCCGTGCTGCTCCCTGGGGCACCCACCGGCACCAGGTGTAGGCCGAACCGTCTGATGTTGTCCCTGACGGCTTCTGGTGGCCAGTTGTGCTGGCGGTGACGGGTGAAAAACTCGTCAGGGATGAACCACACTGTGACGTGCAGACAGGGAACATCGTCATAGTCCACGTTATCAAATTGTGCTGCTGCATTGTCTGAATAGGATATGGCTGGTCCACTGACACCTTTTGCTGTGTCGATTATTCCCAGCCCCATTTTTTGAAGGTCATTAAATACGTTTTTGACATCCTCAGCATTGAAAATTAGTTTCTTCTGGTGAGGACAGTCGTCTCTGCGCTCCTGCAGCAGCAGCACGAAGCCAGGGTTCTCTGCCTCGGTGACCACCAGGCGAGGAGGCGGGTCGCTGTCCGGACCCCCTAGATCGGCAGCTCTTGTCGCTTCATAACAGGCAATGTCGTCAAAAGAGCTGCTGTTGGGAGCATCGGGCAACACCCAGTTCACGGGACCCAGCTCATGCATGACGTCCACGTCAGATGTGGACAGGCATGTCTCCGGCTCAAGTAAGCCGCTCAGCCCCTCTGCGTAGCTACCGGACACAAATCTATTAGTTACCTTAACACTGTTGAGCAGTGAGCACAGACATTTTGCATGAGTGATGAGTAGTTCACGCTCCAGTGGAGGATCAAACAATGCTTTGGCATTGGCTTGTCTGCTGGCCATCATCACGTGTAGTAGCTGATCATCCCTTGTATTATAGGAGTCAAACCACTTGTCCACCACCAGATCGATGTGCTCACCGCAGGCCGCCTTCAGCCGAGCTCCATCTGAGTGCTGCGGTGTAGTCGTCCCCTCACCGCTGTCACCACTGGCCGTCCTCCCTGGGTCAGACATCGCTGTGCTCCGTCGCGGTCAGGTCACACCCGCAGGCGGTGGAGGTCGGGCAGCTCGGTCACGGCTTACGTCACCGAAATCTGGCCGCTCGAGGTGGATATTTCAGTCCGATCTACTCCACCGACGGATCGCTCACGGGTCATGAATGGACGTTCATTGTGACCTGGTCTGATGGCCATCGCTCTGATTGGCATCACTAATAGCTGTCCGCGGCTCTAATTTGCATCACTTTTCACTGTCCTCGGCGATTGGTCCCATCATTTTCTGTTGTTCTTGGTGGACAATTCCATTTTTTTTTTCAACGGCGTCGTGCGAGAATTTTTACCACTTTCTTTCTTTATGCACTTTTTTCATTACTATCTGATTGCCAGCATGTTGACTATCATCACTATTTGTTTGTCCTCAGCTGCAAATTTCATTAGTCTCTATTTTGCTCAGCGCTAATTTTCACTTTTATCGCATGTTCCCAGCTAAAAATATCATCACTGCTCGTTATCCTCGGCTCCAGTTTTCACCACTATTCGTTCTGTGTACGATCCTCAGGTGCTCCAACACACACGTCCCATCGGTCGGCGCTAAACTCCCTCACTGACAAACTCACTTAACACACTACCAGAACTGAAAAACTGCTATCGGTCACGGGACTAGAGGTGAAAAATGAGTACTGATATGGCAGCTGACATGGATCCTATAACTAATGATACATCACAACTCACTGAAAATATCACTTCCATTCAATGGTTGGACCTTTCGTGTATGTGTATAGTCATTCGTGTCCATATTTTGTGTTGGTAAATCCTTACCTAAGAGCAACACCTGTTGTAATTTCGTACCTCTAGTTGATAGGGCCAGTGGTACCGCCGCGATATCTTATCAATACACGGCGGAGCGGCGAGAGGGTCGTCTTGACCGGCGATGCAAGAGGGGTGGGGTGGGGTGGGGGGGGGGGGGCAAGCTGATCTCCACAGCTGATGGTGGGTGTTCTTGCTTTTTGATAATTTGTTGCAACATCTGCATCTTAATGGTCATATTGTTTGGCTCAGTTTGAGGAGTCATATGTACGATTACATATGGCATGCCACTCAGATGACGAACTTTCCTGTTTTCAACTCAGTGATTACGGCTGTAGTGTAAAGTCTGCATGACTTGAATTTGGTGCTGTTTGGACCTTTCTCGAGTCACCAGTCGAACAGCTCCTCTCCTCGGGTCATGACCAGGGTCAGAGGTCAGCCGTATCGTCGGCCCCGTGACCGCCAGTGTACCGTGTCTGCAGCGCCCCCCCCCCCCCAGACGCCAGTCGAGTTCACGTGACACAGGACAGAGTACACAAACAGCCATACCTTGTTCGGATGATTAGCAAAGGCAGCCTGGCCATCACGAGGCTTGAGCTGTATCAGTATCGATCCACTTATTGCAGTGGAAATTTTCCGTTGCAGAGCCATTTGCGTCACGCAACATATACTTGATGCAACTATCGATGCAACTATATCCAGCCCACCTCGGCTGTGCCATTGGCAGTGTCAACAGCACTGAAGAGGTACCGGCGCGTCGCCACTCTGAAAAGCGGCGGGGAATGCGGCTCCCTGCAATCGGCGGATTAGCTATCGACCGTCGGCTCTCGGCTATCGTCTGGGGGCCCCTCCTATGACAGGCATCAGTTGGCACATATAAAATGTTTGTGACACCAGTCCAGGACTGAAGGGGGTAATAACAAAAGAGCAAGGGGCGACAAAAAACCCTCAAATGCGGCAACCCTATGCGCCTGACCACCGTTTTGGCATTGGGATCCACGCCTCCTGATTCCCAGTGGAGGTATACTGCATCAAAATGACGTCATTAGGCGTCGATGGTATAACTTGGAGGAAACATGCCTTACTTTATGCCTCCTTGTGAATTTAGCTCTCATCATAGCGAATACCACCCCTATCAGTACCTAACACGTAAATCTAAATGTGTTTGGCGCTTTTTGCGTTTGTGATAAGTTGCCTAAAGTGAAATATTTTTGAAACGGCCATCAAAACCTCATAAAAGCTGTCTTGTACCGGAATCCCGTAAAGGTAGCTGATCCAATATGCATACCTGAAGTAACCATTCGTCCGTATAGATGTGGTGTATGATCCTGAAGTATAACGTCGATAGTCAACCAAAAGAGGCCCAACCACATGTTCTAATCAGTGTATTCACAATACGCTGAGAAGATTGCAATTTAGTAACAATACAACTACTACAGAATGTGTTTACACATGGATATTACACTGAACAAACGTGTTATAAAACATGTGTGTATCAGATACAAAACGAATGCAATAGACACGAACCCATAGTTGATAACATGGAATACAAAGTCGTAATTAATTGTGGACACTACAAGCACGACTTCTCCAACGAACATTTTTAATCGACGAATAAGCACGTATCATATTCTTCACATGTGTATTGAAGAAGACGTCAATAATTATACGAAGGCAATGTTTAGCAATACTGTGGGTCGCAAAGGGACTCACGTTCGGAACTACTTCATAGAAACAAGTTTGTCATCTTGCATGTAATCGTAACTATCTTTATGGAATATTCATTCTCTGATGGTGTATAAAAAGTACCTCATCGCCGTAGCTGTCCACATATCAGAGTGACAGAACACCACTTCTCCCGTCCACACCTCAGAATGACATAACACCACCTCTCCTGTCCACACCACAGAGTGACATAACACCATCTCTCCCGTCCACACCTCAGAGTGGCATAATACCACCTCTCCCGTCCACACCTCAGAGTGACATAACACCACTTCTCCTGTCCACACCTCAGAGTGGCATAACACCTCTCCCGTCCACACCACAGAGTGACATAATACCACTTCTCCCGTCCACACCTCAGAGTGGCATAACACCACCTCTCCCGTCCACACCTCAGAGTGACCTACGGAGCAGAAAGGGCAGCACGCCCCAGGGGTCCGGCAGGCGGCGTCTGCGCCTCTCATGCTCCCTGGCCGTCTCCGGGTCGTCACAGAGCCACCACTGTCCCACACCGACACCACAGGCCGCCCACAGCGCCGCCCGACGGTCCATGCCGAGACGAATGTGGAAGTCAAAGGCCAGATCCTCATACATTGAGGCATAATCTAGAGCGTTTTTCATGTAATTTTCGCACTCTTCCACACGTTCCTCCCTGAACGTGCGTGTGGCCGACTCACTATCCTGCCTGTACTCATGCCACTTGTCCGGTACACTCTCCCCGAGAGCCCGGCTAAGCAGTGGGATGTTGAGCAGCAGGTCACAGAGGTCACGCGGTGACCTCAGGTCAGCGGGCAGACCAGCCGTCCGTTCTGTTTCCGGTAGCTGGTGCTGACGTCTCAGCCAGGCTCGCACCGCGTTAGGATCCCCCAGTAGGAATCGCAGGTCATCTTCAGTGAGGAGATCCAACAGAGGAGCCGCGTCCCAGATGAAGCCAGGACCAATGGACTTTTGCATGTCAGCCTGCAATGTCACGTCCGCTGGGGCGACGGTCAGCGCCTTGAACATATTGAACTGCAGTTTGCGCCGGTAAGTGTATTTCTCAGACAGCCTGTCTACATCAAAAGACGTCAGCTGTTGTGAACGTACCATCACAGCCAGCACTTTCCCCACTTCCGGTATGGTCGCCAAGGCCAGATACCCCACCAGACCATTGGCTATCCCACAAAGGATATTCCATCGAGCCAGACAGACACGCACCTGGCGCTCCGTCAGTTGCCTGGTCGTCTGCGTCAGCATCTCCTGCAGGCCAGGTTTATAAACACAGAACTCACGCGCAAGATGGGAGTTCAGATTTTGCCTGATGTCGTGCAGTGCCTTCCTCATGACCTCCCGGTCATCCTCACTGGTAAACCGCAGTAGGTTCACCTGACTCCAGAAGTAGCATGGAAGGTTTCCTGTGAACAGAGTCTCTTCCAGGAAGTCCAGCAGTTTGATGACACTCCGAGAGACAGTTGTCCAGTCATCCTTTGGTGTTTTCTCGCACAGCCACAGGAGCGCTGTCTTTGCATAGTACGACTTCACCATCTTGCCGTTTGGTACGAGAGCTCTGCACAGCTTGAAAGCAATGACAGCATGTCGTTGTCGATCAGTCAGCAAGGAAGCGAGTAATAGCTCTGCCCTTGAGAAGGATATCCTGAACTGAAACCTTTCAGAGCTGCTCCCTGGGGCACCCACCGGCACCAGGTGTAGGCCGAACTGTCTGATATTGTCTCTGACGGCTTCTGGTGGCCAGTTGTGCTGGCGGTGACGGGTGAAAAAGTCGTCAGGGATAAACCACATTGCGGCGTGCAGACAGGGGACTTTGTCATAGTCTGTCACCTCAAATATGCCTGGAGCATTGTCCGAATGAGATATAGCAGGCCCGTTGACGCCTTTTGCTGTCTTTGCTTTGGTCCACGTTCAAGTTTTTGAAAGTCACCGAATAGATTTGTCACGTCCTCGGCTTTGAAGACGAGCCTCTCCTGGTGAGGACAGTCGTCTCTGCGCTCCTGCAGCAGCAGCACGAAGCCGGGGTTCTCTGTCTCGGTGATCACCAGGCGAGGAGGCGGGTCGCTGTCCGGACCTCCGAGATCGGCGGTTGGTGCCGCTCCTGTAGTGGTATTCTCCACTGAACTGCTGTTGGCAGTATCGGGAAACACCCAGTCCACCGGACCCAGCTCAATCATAAAGTCCACATCCGAGCTACTTTGATATGTTGGTGGTCGCTGTGGTGACCGAAGCCGCTCCGCCATGCTACCGGAGACTACCTCGTTCCTCATCATAATGGAGTTAAACGGTGAACATTGGCAGTTGACGTAACGGGATTGCATTGCACGATAGATAGGACTATTCCACAAGATGGCGACTTTTGAGTCCCGCTCCACTATCATGCTGTGCAATGCCTGACAGCAAGTATTTCCAAGTTCACAGGAATCAAACCACGCGTCCACCCAGGGGCGTCGCTACGGGTCCCCAACTTGTACGGACACATTCTGTCAGCCGTAA